CGAGTTCCCCTTGCTCCTCAGCACCCCTAGCGCTTGCGGCCGTCGCTGACCCCTCCCTCATGCACGGCCGCTTGGGACATCTCTCAGATGAGCGCTTAGGGTTGTTGCTGAGTAGAAGCGAGGGTGGTGCAACGACGGCTGCCTCCCCGTCCGCATCCTGCGAGCTCTGCGTCCTCGGCAAAGCGACGCAGACGGGCGTCGCGAGCACATCCTCAGAACTGTCGCCGACACGCCCGCTCGAGCGACTCGTCGTGGACACCTGGGGCCCGTCGCCGGCTCGAGGCCGCCTCGGCCAACGCTTCGCGCTCCTCGTCCTCGACCGCTACTCGGGGTATGCGTGGTGCGCCGTGCTCGCGTCCAAGGCTGCCATCCCGCAGTACCTCGTCAACCTCATGCGACGACTCGAGCGCGAGACAGGCTTGCCCATCGTCGAGCTCCAGAGCGACAACGGCACCGAGTTCGTCAACTCGACGGTCGAGCACTACACGACGGAGAAGGGCATCCACCACCGCAAAAGCGTGCCCTACGTGCACCAAAACGGTTTTGTCGAGAACCGGTTCCGCATGCTTTTTGTGACCGTGCGCACGCTCCTCGCGAGCTCCCCCCTCCCGCTCTCGTTCTGGCCGGAGGCCTTCGAGACAGCAGTGTACCTGCTCAACCGCTCGCCATCAGTCGCGCTGCCCGACAAGAGCGCGCCGCACGACCTCTACCACGGCCGGCAGGCTCCCCTCGAACACCTGCGGGTGTGGGGGTGCCGCGCGTACATCTCACTGCTGCCAGATGGCCCTCGCCGCCCGCACAAGCTCGCGCCGCGAGCCATCGAGGCTTGCTTTGTCGGCTACCCCCCGTCGCAGAAGGGCTGGCTCTTCTGGGTGCCGGCCTGGGGCAAGATTGTGACAGCATGGAGCGTCGCGCGGTGGTACGAAGACGACCTCGCACCGGAGAACGCGACGGTCGACGAGCGCGTGCCCGCGTTTGCGCTTGACGAACTGGACGAGCTCCTTGCAGCGCCTCTCGAACCCCCTGTGGCGGCAGGAGGGGGAGGGCAGGTGGAGGAGCAAGTGCCGCCGTCAGGGGACGAGGCAGCAGGAGGGGCAGGAGGGGAGGAAGAGGCTGCAGAGACCCCTCAGGAGGGCATGCAGGGTCAGGGAGCAGGAGGAGAAGGGACGACGGGCCAGGCGGAGCCCGCCAAGCGGAAGGCGAACACGCCGCCTCAGCAGCTGCAGCTCGAGGGGCCCGCTCGCCGCTCGCAGCGCCTCGCTGGCGTCGATGGGGCGACCCTCCCAGCGTACCAGCCTCTACAAGGAGCCCCAGCCGCGCCCACTGGCCCCGCACCAAGGCATGGGCGCCGCGAGCCGCCGCCGGCGCCGAGGAAGCCACCTGCTCGGGCGTCTCTCCGTCTCGGCGGCGTCAGGGGCGCGAGCCTCCCTTTCTACAGGGACCTCGCAGGTGCACCGGCAGCGCGGCGTCTGTGCCTGGAGACGTTCCACCCGCCCAACAGCGCACTTGCGCTGCCTCTTCGAGCAGGGCCACAGCAGTCTTCGCCGTCGGGCCTGGCACAGCAGCCGCTGCTCGCCCTTGCAGCGTTCGACACCTCTCTCGACGCAGACGTCGAGGCAGTCGAAGCGTGCGAGGTCGACGCGGCTTTTTTTTTTTTTAACGTCGGGTAGCCTCGACGAGCCAACGTACTCGCAGGCCATCACTTGCCCCGATGCCGACAAGTGGCTCGAAGCGATGCACGCCGAGCTCGCTGCGTTCGAGGCGACGGGCACTTGGGAGCCTGACCTCGTCGACCTCCCCGCAGGGCGCCGAGCCGTAGGCACCAAATGGGTCCTCGTCATCAAGCGGGACGCCGAGGGGCGCGTCATCAAGTACAAGGCGCGCCTGGTCGCTCGGGGAGACCAGCAAGTCGAGGCCTTGACTTTGGCGACACGCACTCGTCGACGGTCCGACTCACCACCTGCCGCCTCCTCTTCGCCATCCTCGCCGCGAATCCGTCCTATACTGTCGCCCAGTTTGACGTGTCAAAGGCGTACCTGCTTGGCGAGCTCGACCGCCCCATCTACCTTGCCCAGGCACCCGGCTTTGTCGACTCGAGCCGCCCCCGCGCTGCGCAACTCCTCAAGAAGGTGCTCTACGGGCTTTGCCAGGGCGGCGCCGAGTGGCAGAAAGTGCTCCGCTCGGCGCTCGAGCACGTCGGCTTCTCACGATGCGAGAACGACCACGGTCTGTACGTGCGTCGGCGCAACGGCAAGGTCGCGTTCGTCCCGGTCCACATCGACGACGGCAAGATCATCGGCGACGACGATGCCTCGGCCATCATCGCAGAGCTCAACGAGCAGCTCTCGGACAAGCTCAAGAGCGTAGAGCCCGGGCTCTTCCTCGGCATGCGCTTCCAGCGCAGGGCCGACGGTTCCGTCGAGATCTCGCAGCAGCACTACGACCGCGCGGTCCTCGAGCGGTTCTTCCCGAACGGGCTCTCGGCCGTCGCGACTCCCCTCGACTCGTCGTACTCAGCACTCGTCGCGGCGGACGAGACCGAGCGCCATGAGTGCCCGTATCGCGAGCTCCTTGGAGCGCTCGTCTACCTCTTGGTGTGCACGCGGCCCGACCTCGCCTTCGCGCTTTCGTTCGCGAGCAGGTTCGCGAGCTGCCCCGCGCGCCGGCACTGGTCAATGCTCACGCACATCGCACGCTACCTCTCGGGCACCGCTGCGCTCGGGCTCGTCTACTCGGCGCCCTCGAGCGGTGGGTTCAAGGCGTCGCTCGTCACGGGGTGGAGCGACGCAGACCACGGGGCGGACAAGGACACGCGGCAGTCCGTGTCCGGCTTCGTCTTTGGCGTTGGCGACGACTCGCTCCGCTCGACGGCCATCTCCTGGCTGTCGTGCCGTCAGAAGAGCGTTGCCATCAGCTCGTGCGAGGCCGAGTACGTCGCCCTCAGCGAGTCGGCCCGCGAAGCGGTCTGGCTGCGCGCGCTCCTTGCCGAGTTGGGCTTCCCTCTGTGGTCGCCGACGACAATCCGCGGCGACAACACGGGCGCCCTCATCCTCGCCAAGCACCCTTCGGCTCACTCGCGCACCAAGCACATCGGCGTGCACTACCATTACACGCGCGAAAGGGTCGCCAAGGGGGTGCTTGAGCTGCGGTGGGTCAAGACGGACGACATGGTCGCCGACGTCTTCACCAAGGGGCTCGGGCGCGTGAAGCACGAGCTTTTCACGCTGCGCTGCGGGCTCAGAGACCTCCGCCGCGAGGGAGGGTGCGAGCGAGGGACGCTCAAGGCCAGGGAGGGTGCGAGCGAGGGACGCTCAAGGCCAGGGAGGGTCGCGCCGGAGGTTCGGAGGGTCCGCAGAGCGGGGGACAGTGATCGGGGAGCAGGGCGATCAGGGACTCAGGGAGGGCGGCGGGCGAGGGGACGTGCTTCTCTCTCCAGTTGCTCACGTCTCTCGCCCGATCCGCCAGGTGTGCCTCTAGTTCCTCGAATGCAGTTCACTCCAGTTGCTCACGTCTCTCGCCCGATCCGCCAGTCGTCTTTGCCCGGCTCGCCGTCTCACGTCCAAAGTTCACTCTCTGCTTGCCAGCCAACTCCACTCCAGCAGTACTGCCGGTAGCGTAAGCTTTCACCGCCACTTGACTGCCACCCTTGCCTCCTCTGCCTCAGCCCCATGGCAAGTGCAGGGAACTCTTTTGTGCTTGTTCTGCCTCTGGACCTGCTGCAGCAGACAGTGCCTTTGCTCCCAAGGGGAGGTGCAGGAGGAGTGGAGGACGGAGGACATCAGAGTCAGACGTGTGTGGCAGGCTTGCAACCGGCGCACCCGAGTCGCCTGTTCTCCTCCAGCTCTCACACTGAGGAGAACAGGTACGCCGAGTTGCTCTCTTGTAGCTCTTGGCAGCTCTTCAACTCACACACTAAGGAGAACAGCTTAGCCCACACGGTTTCAGGCTTTCGAACCCCTCAGTCCAAGTGAGTGTTTCAATGCACCTGTTTCCCGGTGGTGCTCTGTTCTAACTGCTCCTGCGGGAGTGAGCCGCACCCTCAAGTCCACAGAACCTGTAGAAGCACCCACTTGAAGTGCCCCCGTTCAAGCCAACAACTGAGTTGCCATAACATTGCTGCCAATCCTCCAGTGAACAACTGCACTCAAGGCACTAACCCCTGCCCCAAAGCGCAGAGCAAATTGATAGGCCGGAAAGGACGGCTGGGGCTTGTCCTAACACTTGCCTGACACGATGAAAAGTGGCCCAAGGTGTGCATTGCCTGGGTTGTCTCTGTGCGTGAGCGTGAGGAAAGCAACCCAGGTTTGGCTCGTGCGCGCGCCCTCCTATCTCTGCGGCCGCACCGTTGCAAGCCCACGGGGCTTACATTCAGGGCAAGTGCGGGAGACTCTTTTGTGCTTGTTCTGCCTCCAGATGAGCTCCTATGGGAGTGAGCTGCACCCCCAAGCTTTGGGATCCCTTGCTGTGCCCTATGAGCACCTCACTGAGCGCAGGCAAAAGCCTAAGACCAGCTCAAGCTGCTCAAGCTGTGTGGCGCTGGTTTGGCGGCAAGTCCAGGCAAGACACGTCCCGTCAGCCCAGGTTCTGAGAAGCCATCCTCCTACTCAGGGACTGGAGACCCAACGGCTCTCAAGCGTCAAGGACTGGAGACCCAACGGCACTCAAGCGTCACAAGTCCATAGACCCTGTAGAAGGACACATTCAAAGCCCCAATGCTGCCAGCGCCCCTGTTCAAGCCAACAACGGAGTCGCTCACTTTGCGGGGGTCCTCTTTGCACCCTCTCAATAGCGCCACGGCAGGCTTGCAGTTGTGAGTAGCTTTGGGGGCATGCAGTGGCATATTGCAGCCTGTAGCAAGTCTTCCTGCCTCCACTGGAGCAGTGGATGAGCCACCGCTTCCTTTTCGCGTCGGGCCGGGTTGCTTTTAGACCGTCTCAGAGCATTCGGCCACAGCGTTTATTTTGTTATATATGCGCACTACGGTCACTGCTTTTATAGCGGCTCGGTTGATCTAGTTGGTTATGATGTGGACCTAATACGACTTCGCGGCGTTTCAAGTCCAATGTCGGCGGTTCGATCCCGCCACTGAGCAATGTTTCTTTTTGTTGCCCCAGAGGCCAGCAGTCCATCTTTCCCAAGGCTGCTTCATTGTTCTGTCAGTATTTGAGAGCGGCTCGTTAAGCTGACTGACCGGCTTGCGTGACTGCCCTACCTTTTTGTTCTCTGTGTACCGCCTGGCCAATAGCGTGGCGGGCTTTGGGCGTGATTTGGAGGTCCGAGGGCACAATGAGAAAAGAAGGCACTGCGAGGGCAGGGCAAGCAGCCAAAAAGATAACACTCTTCGACCGGGAATTGAACCCGGGTCTCTGCCGCGTTGGACTGTGTGAGAGTCTGACAAGGCAATATACTAGCCACTATACTATCGAAGACTTGGTTGACCGTAAATGTCCAATGTTGCCAATAGTACCCACCAGCAAACCTGCGGACTGTTCCACGGTCTGCCTTTCAACCCCAACAAGGCTCAGCCCATGTCGAGCTTGTTTGCCCTTTCCAGAACGGACACAGGAATCAGCGATCGTCTGAAGCAACAGGTGCACTTTCGCACAGAAAGGTAAGGAAGGGAGCGCAGGAAGCGGGCACTGGGATTGAGGAACAAGTCGAGGCGAGTGCGGCAAGACGGCCGCAGTGAGGGGGATGAGCAGTCCTGCAGAGGACCCGGGAGGTGCCCGGTGCAGAGACCAGCTGAGCACCCTTGACAAGAGCAACAAGCTGTCGGACGACTCACTGCGACACTGCGAGGTGGTGCACATGACAAGGAAGGCCTGAGAGGTAACGACGTTGACAACAGGCACCCCACGCGAGCCCATGCAGGTGCCGAGGCGTAAGAGCCGGACCTGCGCTGCACACTTGTGTGCGATGAGCCGTCAAGGCACGACGCGGGAGATGAGGAGGGGAAGGCCGCGAGTGAGGTTTGGGGCGAGCGCAGGTGTGGTGCGTCAGGGTCGTACAGTCATAGCAAGCAAACGCAACAGTGCAGCACGCTCTAGAACATGAGCTGGTGGTGCGACGAGAGGCGAGTTCCCGCCGCTCTTCCGTTCGTCCTCGTCGGAGAGGGACGGTCGGCCCTGGACCAACTGTCGCTCTCGTCACCTTCAGCAGGCAGTCTGCGGCATGGCAGCATCATCAAGCTCGACTGAGCGCAAGTGGCGCATCACGGTCCTCATTTCTGGCTCGGGTCAGTTCTCTCGCTCCCCGCTCCCCCCTTGCCCTCATCTCCCCCCACTTGGCGAGACACGTCCACACCCTGTGAGCGGCTTCACGGGTGTCTCCGAGCCTCTTATAGCTCACGGGAACAGTGCTCGAGACGACACACCCTTGCGCGCCGCCGTCACCCTCCCCCCCCGGAGTTGACTCCGAGTACGGAGGAACTAAAGCTAACCTCCCCTCACCCTGCATAGGCTCCAATCTGCAAGCCCTGCTCAACGCCACTCAGCTCCCACCATCGGACCCGCGCTCGCTGTCACACTGCGCCATTACCTCGGTCCTCTCGTCCCGCTCCGACGCCTACGGCCTCACACGCGCGCGCACCTTCCCCGCCTCGCCCACCCCGGCAGAAGCATTCCCTTTGCTGCGCTGGAAGAAGCAGCCAGGCAACGAGGGCAAGACGCGCCAGGACTGGGAACTCGACCTCGCGGCAAAAATCCGCGCGACGCGGCCAGACGTGGTCGTCCTCGCCGGGTGGATGCTCATCCTCGGCGAGCAGTTCCTCCAGCACCTTGTGCGCGACTGGGACGAAGAGAGCACCGGCGCGTCCTCCGACTTGTCCTCCTCCCAAGCCCCCGCTCCCCCCTCCGTCGACCCCACCGGCGCCAGCCTCGGATTCGGCCTCCCCACGCCCGGCTCCTCCCCTTACGCCTCCTCCCTCGTCAACCCTTCCGACACCCTCAAGGGACGCCCCATCCCCATCATCAACCTCCACCCCGCGCTCCCGGGCCAGTTCCCCGGCGCGCACGCCATCAAAGACGCGTGGGACGCCTTCAACACGCCGTCGGCTTCGGCGCTGCGGTCCTCGACTTCCGACGCGTCCGCGACGCTCGAAACCCTCGATGCCCCCGTTACCGCACCCAACGACGCCGCCGCGGACGCACAAGCCGAGGCAGGCGGCCGCCGCATCACGCACACGGGCTTGATGGTGCATCGCGTGATCCCGCTCCTGGACGCAGGCGCGCCCGTCGTCGTGCGCGAGGTGCCCCTCGTCGAGGGCGAGAGCCTCGAAGGACTCGAGGAGAGGATCCACGCGGTCGAGCACGAGGCGATCGTCGAGGCTGTCGGGGAGGTGGTCAGGCTTGTCAAGAGGGGTGAGTGGTGGGAGGGGGTGGACGGACCCGGGGAAGGAGAGGCGGGCAGCAGCGCGTCGCGCGTGTAGCAGAACGGCCAGCGGAGTACCTTCTCGAGCGTCAGACGCCGGTTCGTTCACGCGAAGAGCCTGCTCAGCTCTGTCGAGGGGCTCGTTTGACTGAAGCGTGGAACCTGGCTGGCTGGGCTCGTGACCTAGCTTTCGGTACAGTACGATTGAGCAGCTCGTAGCCAGTTCACTGATGAGGACGAGGACTACTTGGCCGCGACTCTTCGCTCTCCCGCTCCTCTTGATATCGCTCGACACGTACTTGCTGCCGCTGAACGGCGCGCATACTCTCGCTCGACCAAGCCGAAGGCAACCTCTCGCAGGCCAAGCGCAGGTTGGAGGGCGACGCGCGCTCAGCTCTCTCGTCGTCCCAAACACGCCGCGACCCCCTCGCTGGGAGCGCTGCACGGCCTCGCTAAGCGCGATCGACCACGCCAGGTACCCAGCACGCGTGCTCACCACAGCTCCCGCACCCCCTCCCTCCCCCTCGCTTGCGACTCCCTCTCCTCGCCCTCCTCCCCACACTGGCCCCCCATGTCCGCCTCAGCCTTGGTCATCCCCCTCGGCGCCCGCGTACGCGTCTCCGCCGGCCTCGGACACGTCCGCTTTGTCGGACAGACGGCCTTTGCCCCAGGCAAGTGGGTCGGCGTCGAGCTGGATGCGCCCGGCGGCAAGAACGACGGCAGCGTGGCAGGGACGAGGTACTTCCAGTGCGACGAAGGATGCGGCGTCTTTGTCAAGGATAGAATGGTCACGGTCCTGGATGGCGCGGAGCAGGAGGTGCGTCCGACGCTTTCGCTCCTTCGCTCGCTCGGTTCGAGCTGACCCGACCCCGCGCGTCCTGCCCAGTCACCCGAGCCCGAGTTCAAAGTCCCCGCATTGCCCTCTGCATCCGCTTCTCGACCGATGTCACGAGCAACAGCGACGCGACCTTCCTCCACTGCGCCGACCCCCTTGTCCTCCTCGCGACCCGCGAGTCGCCCGTCTCTCGTCCCATCAGCAGCGACTCCCGCGCGCCCTCCCTCCTCCGCCTCGGCGCGCCGACCTTCCTCAGTGGCATCATCGACGGCGTCACAGTCCCTCGCAGAGCCGACGGCGCGTGCCGCCTCGCCTGCAAAGCCCGCGTCGCGCCTGTCTGGCTCGCGCCCTTCGTCCGCTGCATCGGGTCCGACCCCCGGCACCGCGCGGCGCACATCCATCGCCCCACCTTCCCTGGCTGCCGCGCCGACACCGCGCGCATCAACGGCCGCAGCGCGACCCACGGGCCTCGTCCCGCCTTCCCCCCGTAGCGGCGCCGCCTCGAGCAGCAGGCTCGCGCGCCCTTCACCGTCCCCAGCCAAGCCCGCGCTTGCCAACTTTGCGCCCGCCAGACCGACGACGGCGGCGCCTGCGCCCGTCCGCGCGGCATTGCCCGGTGCGGGCCTGTCCACGCCCCGGCGGCTGCAGGCACCTGCGCTGACACCCTCAGCGTCGTCGTCTTCCACGAGCATGCGGCGGCAGCTGTCGGGGGCGTCGACCAGCTCGTCGAGCTCGAGCGCGGGCGGGGCGTCGGTCATCGGGAGCGCGGGGAGGGGCCTCCTGAGCCGGCCGACGAGTGGGGCGGGCGTCGCTGGACCTGGTGTCGGTGTCGGCGGCGCAGGAATGCGCCGGACGCTCAGCGGGGGAAGCGTGCAGGCAGAGCGGGCCGAGCAGCAGGGCGAGGGCGTACAGAGGGAGCCCGAGGCGCGGGAGGAGGACGAAGTTGTGGCGCGGGAGCAGCCGCACTTGGCTGGACTGGAGGGAGAGCGCCTCCTTCCGCAGGCGCCGGCTCACGTCCAGGTGGGACAGGAGGAGAGTGACCCGTTCTCGCTGCGCGACCCGGGCGCGCGGGCGGGCGCAAAGGCGGTCGAAGCTGTGCGTCAAGTTCCGTCTTTCTTGACGTCTCCCGCTTGGCCTACACGCTGACCTCAGCTTGCCCACACTCCCGACCGACAGGTGGTCCCCCAGCGCGTCCACGACGAGCTCCTCGCCAAGCTGTCAATCCTCGAGCGCCGCCGCGCCGAGGACCGCGAGCGCTTGCGCGAGCTCGATGCCCTGCGCGACAAGGCAGGCGAATGGGAGCGCGTACGGGAGAAGACGCGCGCGAGGGTTGCCGAGCTGGCGGGGGAGGTCAAGGAACTGCGGAGGGAGGTGCGCTCGTTCATTCCCTTGTTCGGCCCCGGCGTGCCGCGCTCGGCGTGCGAGAGCTGACGAGAGTACTCATTGCCGATCGCGCAGAACAAGGACCTGGTACTGTCGCGCGACTCCGCCCAGTCAGCTTTCGAGGACCTTCAGGAACAGGTCGAGCACAGCCTCCTCGACAAGGAGATTGCCGAGTCGGAACTCGACGAGGCGCGCGCGAGGCTCAAGGAGCTCGAAGAGCGGGTTGGGGAGCTTGAAGTCGAGGTCGAGGTCGTCAGGGAGGAGAATGGTGCGTTTGCCTTGTCCTCGCTTCCTCGCTTTCCCGTTGCAAGCTGACTGACTTTTGGGCATGCGCCGCAGCACGCCTCGAGGGCCTCGGAGATGCAGAGATCGCGCGGTCGGCTGCCGAAGGTGCAGAGGGCGCTGCACCCTCCGCCGCGCCCTCCTCGCTCGCGTTCCGCCAGCTTGAGAAGCAGAACGCGCGGCTCAAGGACGCCCTCGTGCGGTGCGCTCACTGCTCTCTTCTC